TATTTAATTCCTCAAAATAAACTTAGGAATCATTTGGACAAATTTCTTCCAAAAACAGCACTCAGATTCCTATTGAAATCACATTACACTTACGTGCTAACTCAGGGTAAGGGAAGACGAACATCTTGACCTTTTCTTGCCGGCCACTGCTCCCGCTCACTTCGGATCATGTGCGTCCCACAAGGCTCCGTGGTTGGCATCTCCTGGGCCCCGCGCAGGCCAACTGTCCATCCTGGGGCCGTCTGTAACTGGCTGGTCCCGGGGGGCAGACAGCTGGCCCTCATCCTGAATGCAGAGGGAAGGGCGACAGGTCTTGGCTTCAGAACGAGGACCTCTGTTGTGTTTACATCTTCCTCGTGTTTCTGACATATTATCAGAAATCACACGCTGGATTTTAGCAAAGGTGTGGGCAGCATGTAGAGATGTCCACCCCTCCCTGTGGACTCAAGGACGGGGTTGAAGCACCTTTGCATTCCTAGAACCTCACTTGGTCCTGGGACAATTTCCTGTCTGTGTTTTAGGCTGGGTTAGGTAGTATTTTATTTGGGAGTTATTTCAGTCACTTAACACTGAGATCAGTCGTGTGGGTTTTTCTTTGATTCTAACTGTTAGGTTTTGGTACCAGGTTTATAAAGTGAATTGTCCAATTCCCTTTTTAATAATGAAAATGCTCAATATTTTTTCCTGTGCTTGACTTTCAGCTAATAGTGCTGGACCCACCGGTGAGTAGTTGGGTGCCCTGTGGCCCACAGCTCACCCACCTGGGTGGCAGGTGCCATGGCGTGGGGATCCCTGTGCCTCCTGTAGCCCCTCGTAGTCAGCGTAGACTCGCACAGGGCTTCCACGGCACCTGTGTCATGCTGCAAGCACGGGTCCTGCCCACCCTGCGCTCGCTCCAAACGCTTGCCTCTTCTCCCGCCACAGGTTGAAGAAGGCGAGGCTGAACGGTCTGTTCCACATTGTTTCACCATTTGTGCAGTGCAGAAAACAGTCGTGGTGGCAGCCAGGTACGGGCTTTCCACGCCTGCCCCTGGTGGGCCCTGGGGTGGGGGCCCCCTCGAGCCCCACTTCAGTTACGTGGCCAGGGGAGAGCAGCTTCTCCTTGGGTGGGAAGCTTGCGACCATTGAGAATGTCCGTACAGAGCGGCCCCCGAGCCTCCGCTCACGGCACTTGACCAGGGGCGGCTTGTGCGGACCGGCAGTCTCCTGGGCACGCGCACTGAGGCACCCTCAAGTCCGGGGAAGGGCCTGCGGGGCAGCCACACCAGGGCCGTCTCACCTGCATCCTGTCTGCACAGCAGGGCTGTAACTTGGTAGCAGCCACTTTTCCCAAATCACGTCCGGTGGGGAGGAGGCCTGAGCCCAACGGTGAGCAGGCGGCTCAGTCTCTCCGCTATGGGAGCCGGGGGTCCCCGGCACCTTCCCCGGGGGGAGAGGCTGTCCTCCTCCTGGGTGGGCACCTGGCTCTCAGCTCCCACCCTGCCGTGTCCTGACTGATGTCCTGGCTGATGGCAGCGAGCACGGGACACGAGCGCCCCCCACAGCCTGGGCACCTGGACGGGAACCAGCAACCAACCCTGTATCTCGGCCCCAGAGGCTCCGAAGTCTTTGTTTCGGGCAGCAACCCCCCCTTACAGAAGCCCCCGTCGCAGCACTGAGGGGCTGCCTTCCCTGCTCTGCCGCCCCTGAGAGCTCCCAAGGGCACGCGGGCTGGGCCCCCCGCAGCATTCCCGACAGCCCCCCGGGGCCCACAGGACACAGGGCACTGCAGCCTTCTGTCTCGCTCTGAGGAGCTGGCACAGCAAGGAGGCCCTGGTGGCTCTGCTGAGCCGGCTCTGAGCCTCGGCCCTCCCCCCAGCACTCGCCTGGAAAAGGAGAAGTGGCTGTGTGACCTGAACACCGCCATCGACGCGGCCAAGAGCGGGAGTGACCAGTCCCTGGCGCTGCCGGGCGGCGTGGTGTGCGCTCCTCCCTACAGTGAGTTCTGGCCAAGTTGCCCCCCGTAGAGCCCCCTCCGCACCTGGGCAGGCTTCTCTACAAAGCCTCTTTCTTGTGAGAGCGTGAGTGGGGAGGAGGGGAGGGACACAGGGAGGAGCCGACTCCCCGCTGAGCAGGGGGCCCGACGTGGGGCTCCGTCTTACGACCCTGAGATCATGACCTGAGCCAAAGAGTCGGGCGCTCCGACTGAGGCACGCAGGCGCCCCTACAAACCCGTTTTCTTGGTCGCAGGCCTCCTGCTAGAGCCCGCGTGTTCTCCTTCCACGAGGCACGTTCTGGCCCCCCTGGGGTGGGAAGGGACCGGGAGGGACAGCGAGCTCCTCTGGCAGAAGCACGTCATGTGGGCCCTGGGCCGTCGGGCTCCTGGCCTCCCCGGGCCTAGCCCCTCTGCTGAGCACCAGACCAAGGGCACCCCAGGCCCTACGCGCCCCCTGCCCCCATCTCTGAGAGGGGTTGGCTCCTCCCCCAGGATCCTCTGAGGCGGCGGCTCTGGAGCAGGAGTCCGGAGATGCTCGTGGCTGCCACGGCACCCTGGAGGGGCAGGGCCAGCACCGGGCCAACACCACAGTGCACGTGTGCTGGTACCGGAACACCAGCGTCTCCAGAGCCGACCACAGCGCAGCTGTCGAGGTATGGCTGCCGCGGGCACCCTCTGCTTGTGCTGGCTAGTGGGCGGGGCTCGTGGGGGTCCCACGTGGCAGGGCTGGGACAGGCATACGTGGGAGCGCTCTCCTGCTCTGTCCCCTCGGGCGGGAAGCCAGGTAGGCAAGTCCCCTCTGGCAAAGCGGCCCAGGCGGCCACCAGGCTGCGGGCTGACCGTCCCCGTCAGGGCTGGTGCCAGCCCGTGAGACCAGCTCTGAGCCGCGTGTGCGGGAGGGTGCAGGGGGTAGGATCCCCGGGGTTCTCTGGAAAGGGCTCCTCTCACAGGGGCTGCTGCCTCCCCGCCATCACCTGGAGTAGCCGCTTTGGACTCCAGCCCTTCAGCCCTCAGGCTGCCTCCCACTCGAGGGGGGCGGTTTCGAGTTCCCGTCACACCCCGGGCAGAAGCAGCAGTGCCCGGTGAGGAAGCCTCCAGAGCCCTGGGCTGACGCGGCAGCTGGGGCCCAGCACGCAAGCAGGCCCCATGAGCCTGGGGACGGGCACAGTGGCAGGGCGCCCATCTGCCTTGCCCCGCAGGGAGGGCTATGAGCAGAGAGTGGGGTCACTGGCCACAGGGTGGCCATCCCTGGGTGAGGACTCCGGCCTCCTCACGGGCCGGGGCAGGGGAGCAGCTCACTCCTAACCCTGCTGGCGCGGACGCCACACTCAGGGCCGGGAGCTGGGGCGTCTTGTCAGAACTGCATTCACTTGGCTCTGTGTGGTCCGTGGTGGTCACGGCTGGAATCACTGAACGGGGAGAAGAAACGTAGTGTTCTATTTAGTGTCTGGGATTTCACTCTCCAGATTTTTAAACCTCCTTCCGTTAGACACACAGGCCGACAGGCCCAGAGCAGTGAGGTCACAGCCAGAGCAGAGGAAGGCCGCAGGGGCCGACGCTGCATTCTGGGGGAGCAGGTGCTACTCTGGGTGGAGTGTCCTAGGACACGGACCGGGTCCAGTGGCTTTTTCTCTTCCTGCAGAATCAGCTTTCAGGGTACCTGCTGAGAAAATTCAAGAACAGTAACGGCTGGCAGAAGCTCTGGGTGGTCTTTACCAATTTCTGTTTGTTCTTCTACAAAACTCATCAGGTACGGGTGCTTGGGGGGAGGGCCGGGGGGCCGGGGGCCGGGGGGGCTGTGCCTGTCGCTGGCAGACGACGCCCCTGCTAGCCGCGACACTTCCAGTTCAGAGGAGGGTGGTCTTCCGGCTCTTTGACCTGCTCCCCCAGGGAGGGCTCCCCAGGCCCCAGCGTAGTGAGAGCGGGCCATGAGGCTGGCTGGTGGGGACAGCACCTGCAAAGCCGCGTGCCACCTCGCAGGACGACTATCCCCTGGCCAGCCTCCCGCTGCTGGGCTACAGCGTGAGTGTCCCCAAGGAGGCTGATGGTGTCCACAAGCAGCATGTCTTCAAGCTCCAGTTCAAATCCCACGTCTACTTCTTCCGAGCTGAGAGCAAGTACACGTTTGGGAGGTAATCCTGGGGTCTGCCACCATCCCCTGGGGTCCCCTGCCGCTGAGCACGGCTTCCAGGGTTTCCACCTGTCCTTGCCTTGTCCCACTCACTCCATGTTTGGGGTTGTCCTCGGGAAGAAACTTGAGCACAAGGCCACGGGTATGACCAGAGCATCCCTTGACTCCCAAGTGAGTATCTTGCGAGCTTCTGATGGTCCCACCTCTGCTCCAGGTGGATGGAGGTGATCGAGAGAGCCGGCAGCTCACCTGGGAGGGCCAGGTGTCCCGAGGAAGAGGCATGAAGCAGCCCATCCTGCCCGACGAGGACAGAGCCAAGGAAGCAGAGCTGGGTCAGCACTTCCCCTGCAACTGCATGTCGCAGCGTCCCCAACACAGGATGGCGGGTGGGGTAGGACGGTGTGCAGGGGGAAGCCTCGGTGACCTCTGGGAGGGGCAGCACCGCCTCAGCCCCGTGGGCACCAGGAGGATCCCACATGCACGTGAAACTGCAGGCCCAGCTCGGGATGGAGCAAGCCCCGTGCTCATCCGCCCTCCCCTCTGCCTGAGCGGCACCTGCTGAGCACTGGCCTAGAGCAGGACCCCACGACACGTGCTGCACGGAGGCCCAGCAGAAGCCACTGTGGTGCCTGCCCCCGCAGACCTCTGCAGAAGGGGAAACCAAAGTTCCCCCAAGGGCCTCTAATTTATTAGTTCGCAGTGTTTCCCAACAAATTGGAAGTAAAGGGACATAAGCTGTTAGTTCATTCGTGCTCATGTGCTTGCGGTGCCAGATAAAGGGCTTCTCCCCGCACCCTGCGTGCAGCCCTGCCCTCTGCCGGCAGCCCCGCGGTCACCATGTGCCGGGACAAGGACTCAGAAGCCAGGAACCGGGCCCCACCCACCGCCAGCATCTCTCCAATTCAGGTCTTTATTCAAAGTGGCAGGAGCCTCTCCATATTCTATGAAAACTAACACCTTAACTTCAGAACATTTAGGGAAACGAAGTTCATTTTCTTTAAAAACAAAAACAAAACCAAAACCACACCACCACAACCAGTTCTGGCTGACTCGAGTACTTTGGAGACGCGGTACCTGATCCGACACCACCAGGCCAATCTATGACCGGCGTGGCCACCGTGGGCCCCTGGGCAGGGGAGGAGGCGGACGGGCCCAACAGTCCCCGCTCCTCAGTCCAGGGCGCCGCGGGGTTCGCCGCTCCGCTGCCGGGAAGGGGAGGAGGCTGTGACCCAGCAGCGAGGCCCACGTGGCCGCAGCAGCACAGGGGTTCCAAGTCCGCCCAGGCCTGACGAGCTCCGCACAAAGACCCTTCTCCCCACGCTCCACGAGCAGCCACGCCCTTCAGCGGGTTGACGTCAGGTGGTTTCTGCTGTGCGAAAACCTGCGGAGAAGAAGCCTGGCCTGGAGTGCAGACCGGGCGCGCCGCCGCCGCCGCCGCGGGGGAGTGGGCAGTGGGCGGCCGCACAGGGCGGGCCGCAGGCTCGGGGCTCCGGGGGCTCGCCCAGCAGGCGCCCTGCCCTCTGAATCGAGCCCGTGGGCACAGCCGCTAAAGGCAGGCAGACCGGAAGGTACGATGGGAGAGCGGGAGAGAGGCGCACAGCCTCGTCCCCAGTGTGAGGGCCTCACCTCTGCACCCGCTCCACCAGGTGAGCCATCAGCTTGTCCGAGATGCCAGGGCAGGACTCCTCAGCCAGGCTGAAGGCGTTCTCCAACTCCTCCAGCGCCCCCACGCCCCCGCCACTCTGCTTGTGCTTCTCCTTGAGCTGCCGAGAAACCCCCGTGCGCCTCAGCTGTGAGCTCCTGCCCGAGCACGGGGCCCTTGGCGGGGAGGCTCTCGCGAGAGGCTCGCCCCAAAGGCTCCCCAGCCCGTCCCCGGGGCCTGCATGTGTGGGACCCGGCGCACCGCACCTCCACCTGCACCAGAGACCTAGCAGTCCGTCCTCCACGAAGCCGGGAGGGGCTGGGTGCCACCAAGTCCCCGAGGCTCTGGTGAGGAATGGAGGCAGAGCCGAGGGCGCCGCCGGGGAAGGCAGGGGCTGCCCCGCCCCCACGCCCCAGGCCATCTCAGGTCTTGGTTCTCAAGAGGGGTCTCTACCGGCCTCTGGCACTGAGGTGGGCCAGGCTAACCACGTGGCTTCCTCCCAACTCAGAGTCACAGAAGCTCAAAACCCCAAGTGCCCCAGCACGGCCAGATCCACACATCCTGGCCCCCCTACCACCCACGCGGTGGGAACCGGATGGAGGACCCCCGCCCTCCAGCTGACCTGGCAGGCAGCAGTTAGAAACAGGTCAACCCCGTGCTCCTGCCGCACTCCTCACAGAAACAAAAAGGGAAGGAGCCTGCGTGCCTCCCAGAACACCCCCTCCAGCAGCCTCGACCTCAGGCCCAGCCCCCGGAATCAGGAGCCACAGCGGGTGTGCCTGACAAGCTGGATGAAGCCATGCTCCCCACGCACGTGCAGGAGCTCCAGCGGCCCGCGGCCCCACCGCCACACGTCCCTCAAAGCCCCCGCCACCCACTCAGCAGCCCAGGGCGCTAGCGGCCCTGGCCCTCCCCTCTGACACTCTGCCACCTCCCTCCAGGCCCTGCCTCGCTGCCGGTGCGGGCAAACGTCGCGGCTGAGCCCCACAAGCTCCGGGTGCCCGACCCGCGACAGTCCCTCTCTCGCCACCTCCCCCTCTCCGAGCTCCCCCCTTGCAATTCCAGACCCCTCTGGGTGGGCGCTCTCCTGCCTGTACGCAGATGCCCTTCCACCCACCCCTTCCCTCAGACAGGCTCTCAGCGTCCCGTCCTCGCTCCCTGGGCTCCGGGTGCTGCTGTCACCTGGGTGGGAACCAGGCCCATGACGGGGTGTGGGGAACCTGGCTGCATCGTATTCCTGGGGTGTTACCAATCACCCATCAGCAGGTGGTGACACGAAGGGTGACAGGACCACTGGGGAGTCACCCTTGAGGCCTCCCTGCCCTGGGCCGGACATCCAACACTGAGAACTGAGCCTCCCAGGCTCTCTGAACAGGTGACGGTCCCGTGTTTATAATTCAGAATAAAGAGTCACAGAACTCTAGTTTTGTTCAAGGACCCCAGCGGGCTGAGAACTCGGGAAGGTCACATGAAGGTACTTTGTCCCAACCACTTCTTTGCTCAGAAAGCCTGGCCCCCAGATATGGGCCCAACCACAGTGGGTTCCGAGGGGCCCGGAAACCCCACACGCAGGGCGGGCTGGCGGCACCCCTCACTGTAAACCTCGTGTAACACCGCGTGGAAAGTGTCTGCGGGCGGCACTACGGCCCTCACCTCTCCAAACACAGGCCGGACCAGCGTGGACAGGCACTGGGACCTCGGCTGCCTCTTGACGGGCTCCGCAGACTGCAAGGTCAAAGCGACAGCAGGGTGAGCAGGGCAGAGGAAAGGGTGCACACCCAGGGGGCAGGCGTGCTCCCTCCCCCACGCTTCCGTGGGAGCACCCACGCCAGGGCACCTGCCACCCCCAGAAGCACCGCCCACCCCCGGCCAGCTCAGACCTTCGGGGGGCCGTGCAGGGCTGCCCCCTTGTGCAGTTTGCTGTGCGGGCCTGGCCGGATGGTGGGGGGGAACGTCCAGATGGGACCCTGCTCTCCGTCCTCAGCATCTGCATCGCTGGGGTGGAAGGCCAAGGGTTGTGAGGGCCCTGGGGGCTGGGATTGGGAGTCCCAAGGCCCACACCTTGTCTAGCCTCCCGTTTATTTTGGAGGCCACCTCATAGCCCTAAATGCTAAGTAGGCCCGCCTGGGCTTCAGGGACCCATGGCCCAAGGCCGTGAGGGTCTGCGCCATCCGGAAGGGCCCCTACATGTCCGAGTCCTCGGAGCTGGACTCCTCGCCGTGCCCTTCCGACTTCCAGCGCTTGTAGCGGTCGATGAGCTCGGTGAGGAAGGAGGTCTTCTTGGTGTAGCGTGTGATGAACTTGTGCTTCAGGAGCTCCTTGGCAGTGGGCCGCTGCCGGGGAAAAGGACGCAGGTCACCCGGTGCCAGGGACAGCTGAGCTCTGCCTTCAGGCCCTGGAGCTCAGTGCTCCCCCGGGGGGACCCAGTGGGAGGAGGCAACCAGGAGGCTGGGGGTGGGGGAGCTCCCCTAGAGCTGAGCCGCTGGTGGGTCCCACCCTAGGATCAGGAGGGGCTTGGAGCAGGGGGGACACCTGGCACAGGGAAAGGGGCCTCAGGCCCACTCACCTCCCACGGGGCCTGGTTCCCAAGCAGCCCAACCGCATGTCACCGCTCAGGCCCCTCCCAGCCTGCCCCATGGAGCCAGGGCCCTGGGCGCCACCACGGGACAGGGCTTACGAATCGGGGGTCCTTGTTGAGGCAGGCCTCCACAAACTCCTTGAAGGGCTTGCTATGGTGGCCCTCCAGGGTGGGCGGGCTGTTCTTGGGGATCAGGAACAGGACACGCATGGGGTGGAGGTCAGAGTTCGGAGGCTCACCCTTGGCCAGCTCGATGGCTGTGATCCCCAACGACCAGATGTCGGCCTGGACAGAGACCCACACAGGACCGTGGCTGCCGGGGGCTCCCCAGGCTGTGCCGCAGCCACCCTCCTACCCACCAGCGTGCCCACCTTAAAGTCATAGGCCGACTGCTTGATGACCTCGGGTGCCATCCAGAAGGGGGTGCCCACAAACGTGTTCCTCTTGATCTGCGTGTCTGTGAGCTGCCCCGCCACCCCGAAGTCTGCCAGCTTCACGTCCCCCTGCTCTGAGAGCAGCACGTTGGCGGCTGCTCGACAAAGGACAGCAGGTGTCACCCTCAGCACCGTGCAGGGCCCCAGCCTGCATGCAGCTGCCGAAGGAAGCACAAGGCCACCTGGGGACACCCAGTGCGTCTGATTCAGGGACCTCAGCTTTCCTCTCCAGCCAGTGGGCCAGAGACCCAGGGCCATAGGCACTGCGGGTGGGTAGCTGCAAAGCATGGGGGGCCCACCTGGGCGCCCCCAGCACGAGCTCCAGGGCCCTCCCAGTGTTTGCCTCTCGTGACAAAGCCCAAGAGCAGAGCCACAGCGCGGCAGGCAGAGGGGACTCTGACCCTCGGCCTCCCGCTCCCAGCTGCCTCGCCGGCTCAGCAGGGCTGGCCACAGGGTGGGGGGGGGCTCAGACCCACAGCTGACACTTGGATGGGGGGCCACGAGCAAAGCACTGGCCCTGCTCACACAAGGTACAGAGCTATATAGCAGGGACAGGCGACTACCTTCTGTCCGACAGAACTGCTCGGTTTCCAGCATCAGGAGAGAGTAAAGGCCGGAAGCGCTGAGCTACAGGGTCCCGGGCCCCCAGCACCCCCAGCCGCACACCCCTCACAGCGACCTGCCACCTCCCACCCCGGCGCTTCTAGGGTCGGGGGGCACAGGGACCTTTGATGTCTCGGTGGATCTTGCGCTCCGAGTGCAAGTAGTCCAGGCCCTTCAGGATCTCCCGCAGGATGGTGGCGATGTAGGTCTCCTCCAGCGGGCCGGGTTTAAGCTGCAGGCAGAGGAGGGCCTCAGGCACCCCCAAACACAGACCAGCCCTTCCTTCCACGCCACTCCAGACCCATCGCCAGGGCCCTGACTCGACCACCTCTCTACCAGAGGAGGGGCCCTGCGGACAGCGGGAACCTCTCGTTCCCTCAACAGCTCCTGATTAAACGAAGCTCCGTGTGCTGAGTCAGGTGGAAGTGGGGAAGGTTCTCTTGAGAGTGCGGACACTGCTTCCTTCTCTGTTGCAAACGGGGTCCCAGCCACACTGCCGAGCCTGTCTGCCTGGGGGCCCCCACCTCACCTGCACCCTACAGGCCCAGGACCCCTCAGCACAAGCAGTGGAAGGGGACTGCAAACAGCAGTTCATTTTTCGGCTTAGATGGCTCCTAAGTAATATGTAATACACCAGAACGGCAAAGGAGAGGCCAGGGGGCCTCAGACAGTGGGTCCAGAGGTGCTGCCGGTGCAGCCCCCACAGCAACCTTCTTCTGTCTGCTCCTGCCCACGGCAAGCTGCCCACTGTTGTGGCCTACACCTCACCAGGTCCAACGCAGAACCGCCGCCCAGATACTCCATGATGATCCACAGCTTCGTGCTCTGGGACCAGAGAAACACCTGTCAGCACGGGGCAGAGAGCAAAGGGGCACAGCCGGGCCAGGGCCCCGGGACACACCCTCCCCAGCAGGGGTGACTCCACAAAAGGGCCCCAGCAGCCCCGTCCAGCTCCCCTCCTATCAGACCCCCAATGCAACCACTTTGCAGACAGACCAGTGGCCGAGTCCCCTATGCCCACACCCCATCAAAAACCAGACTGGGAAGACGGCAAGCCCAGCCAGCACTCGGGCTCCCTGTACCTGCACCCCAAGCATCCCCCTTCCCCCTGGGCAGGCCCCCCGGGAGCTGACACTGGGCTCCGGCTGCAGGGGTTGCAGAGTGCCCCCAGCAGGGCTCCCAGACGCTGTCCCACGGGGGCTGCCCCAACCCTAGGAGATGCCCACAGCCGGGCAAGGGGTCAGCACGACCCTTCAGAGCTAACTAGACCCTACTCACGCCCTGCACACCCACCTGGCCCTTGGGACGGCTGTTTCTGGGGGACCAACTCCACTGTGAAGATGGGTCTGTGTTCAACTACTGGGGTCCCTCACCCTTGAGACCAGGCCTCTCTGCCCCACTGTCCCCCGGGAGGGCAGACCCAGCCCAGGCCTTCCGAGCAGGTACGGGGACTCCCAGGGCCCCGCAGCTCCAACCGCACGAACACTGGGCATTGTCACTCCACCTGTCCAGACGCAGGCTGGGCCGGGGGCGGCTGGCACTGGCACCTCCCGAAGCAGGCCCAGCCCAGGGCAAGCCCCGCCCACCCCCCAGGCACCTTCAGGTAGGAGCCGAAGTAGCGGGTGATGTAGGGGCTGTCACACTGGCTGAGCACAGTGATTTCCTGCTGGATGTCCTCGATCTCGTCCTCGGCCTCCTCCAGGTCGATGATCTTGATGGCCACCACCTCCTTGCTCCGGTTGTCAATGCCCTTGTACACCTCCCCAAAGGAGCCCTTGCCGATACGGTCCAGCTTGGTGAAGAGCTGCTCGGGGTCCACGCGGGAGTGCTGCAGGGACACAGGGCGGGCAGCCCGTCGGGGCAGCGGGATGGGCCGAGGTGACCGTCCCCCAAACGAGGAGCCACACTCCTCGTGTGTGAGCTCACCCACGTTCTCTTCTCCTTTCTCCTTTTATCCCTTTTTGTTCAGAAAAACTAAACGTACCCTCCACACAGAGGAAAAGATCGTCCGAGAGCAGAGAGGCCCGGGTACTAGGCGAGGGGTCAGGTCGTGGAGCAGGTGGAGGGACCACAAAGGCCCCACGCGTGGGGAGGACCAAGTGAGGCGCAGACACACATTTAAAGGGACGTGGAAACAGCGAGGCGAGATCCCGTACGACCGTGGGGACGGTGGGGGCGGCAGCCAGAACCTCTCACGAACCACAGGCCTAGTTAGTAAGGACGGACCCAGCCGCCTCTGCGCTTGGAACAAACAGACCACACTGAAGCCTAGAGATGTGAGTAGCAGGCGGAGACCCTCCAGAAAGGGAAGAGGGATGGACCGGCACTCACTCATTCTCCTGTAGGCCCGGGACACTCTTAAACAACAAAGTCCACGCATTAAAACAGAACACAGACCCAGCACGCATTTATCCGAGTTCTCCCTGCACGCCTGCAAGCCATGCCCCTTGGAAGGCAGCTATGCTCACCACTATACCACCAACGCCGGCAGCCATGCCCCTTGGAAAGGGCTCCTTTTCTCGCCCCACATCAGTCTTCAAGGCAGCTACACCCTGACACCAGCACAGAGTCGAAAACTGATGCTCTCCTGGATGCTTAATCCTGGATAGGCAAGTATCCCAGAAAACCAGTGCGTGCAATCCTCAGACCGAAATTCAAACAAGGCCTGAGGGGTGCTGAGCAGCTGGGACAGAGAGCACCCAGCAGTCTGAGCCCCAGGACACGGCTGCAGAGAGGCGTCCATCCGTGGGCTGAGGACCACACTCTTGATGCTGACCCTCCCTGAGTCGGGCTGAGATGGCTCAACGTGGGGGCTCCATGAAGGATGGCAACACCCCCGGGGGTCCCCTAGCCCCTGCCTGCATGGCTCCCTAGGCTCCTGAGAACACCAAGCCGCTCACTGTGTTCTCAGTTAGAGGCTGTGTGCACAGTTCCAGAGGGACGAGGAGGGGCGGGGTGCCCCAGGACCCACGCAGGGGCTTGAGGCCCTGGGCAGAGGCAAGGGTGGGGCCTAGCGTCTTGTCCAAACAAAGGCAGAACGGGCTTTCTCAGGCCTGGGGACTCAGACCCACCAGGAGGTGCCTCCCTCGAGAGGCTGCTCCCAAACCCCCAAGCACCTATCGACAAGGGGGCATCTTGGCGTGAATCTAACGTGGCCAGGCATAAGAAGGAAAAAAAGTCCAGCTCACCATGCATCAGCACTGACTGCTGTGTACACCAGTGCTGAGGGAAGGCCCATCCTGGGAGCGATGGGTGCCCCACGGTGCCAAGGAGAGTCCTCCAAGCATGGACTCCGCACACACCTGGGAGCCCACCTCGGACTCACCCCCAGGCTGGGCCCACAGTGAGACCCCACGTCAGTAGAAACTGCCAATCAGCTGCCTTTCCCAAGGTGTGTAACTGGGAGGGAGGAGCCGGCACACGCAGGCCACACCTGAACCCACCACAGCACCTTCCCCAGCCCCGAATCTGAGCACCAGGCAAAAGCCAGAAGACCGAGGGCCCCCCGGAGCTGGGAACTTCGCAGGAAAGTTGAGTGGAGCGGGTCCCGGCAGGGGTCAAGGCGCCAAGAGCAGCATCGCAGAGTCCCCCACACAAGGCAGGCTGGGCAAGGGGCCAGAGGCAGGCCCCTCCGGCAGCCCGGTGAGGCGTCCGCGCTCACCCTGGCCCCGCCAGTTAAAACGTGGCCCTCCTCACCTCCTCACGGGGACCGGCGGCCCGGTCCCAGAGCCAGCGCATGCGGAGGACAAGGCACGGCAGATGCATGTGGCCAGAGCTACTGCCAAGTCCCCTGGGCTGAAGGCTTCAGCAGGACATGGAGAGCTGAGCGCCACTCAGGTCTCTGGGGCCCAACTGCCGGGCAGCTCCGTTCCTGCTACACACGCTCTGAGGAAAACCAGCACGAGTGAGGCATGGGGCTGCGAGTCACAGCTGCCCAGCTGTCTTCAGAGTGTGGACGGGGGCGTGGGTCACGGGACCAGAACCCACCCAGACCTGAGAGAAAGGCCTGGCAGGGGCCCGCCATCAACTCCCAGCCCGCACGGTCGGCCAGCCAGCAGTCCGCATGAAAACGCCTTCCTGCCAAAGAGAGGGCCTTCTCCACCTCTGGGGGCGGGGGGAACCCCACCATTCCCTGCTCAGTCCCGGACTTCCCGGGGGAATGTGGTCAGGGAGACAGCCCCTCGGGCCCACACCGCACCTCACCACCTTCCCGAATGTGCTTTCCGTTCATTCAGCCGTCAGTGCCCCTGGCGTGCGGTCCGGCACACTGCCAGCCTGCAGCCCTGCCCCTGCCCCAGACGTGCTGCCACAGCCCCGCAGGACACCCCAAGAGCGCCGCCCAGGAACTCCAGTCCATTTGGTGCCGTGCCACCATGTCCTCTGTCACTGGAGAGAGTCCCTCTGCTGAGGCGGCCTGAGAGCGAGCCGGGGCAGGCAGGGCGGACACCCGGCAGCACCAACCAGCACCACTGCACCTCCGGCTCTCAGGGGTCCCCTGCCCACCCTCAGCCCTGCGGAGAACACCGCATCAGTCTCCACACAGGCCCAAAGGTGTGTCTGTCTGCTCCACCATAGCAGCCCAACCAGAGAGACAGAGCGGTGCGACCTCCACTTGCCTGGGAGCAGAACACGGTGGCCCCCACAGCCAGAGTTCCAGGCCCCAACCCCCAACTCTCACCCTCCTGGAGTCTCCACCCCTGCAGGCCCGTCAAGTCAGCAGACAGCGTGACAAGAACGCCCCTGCCTGAGACCCTCACACGACAAGCGACGAGCGTATCACAGGGACCCCGTGTTCCCAGCTCCACCTGGAAGGAAAGGCAAGCAGCTCCCAGGTCTGGGCTGCTTTTCTAGGCAAGGCACAGTCCAGACAATCACTCAAGGCTCGAGTGGCTCTGCTGGTTGAGACCCTTGTTCTCCAGCCCCGAAGCTGCCAGGTCTGGGGCCACCGTTCATGTCACCCCACAAAACGAAGGGAGCAAAGCCATTCCCACCCAGCACATGACAGGTGGGGCAGCCAGTGCTAGGGCACCTGTGGCCATGCCTGCGGGCAGGGCAGGAACCACCCAGGCGGAGGGGAGCCGGCCACTGCACGAGCATAGGCCCTGGGGGGGCACGCCCCACGCGGCCCCAGTGACCACCATCTCAGGAGAAAACCAGGCTTCCTGCCACTGACAGAGGCCGAGTCTACTGGCCTCTGAAAGGACAGAAGGCTTCCTTCCTTTGGGGTCCTTTCCCCAACTCCTCCACTCCCGCACCCCCGCAGCAGGGGTGACCTGGCCGCCCAGGGCCGACACCGAGCACCATCGGTCTACAGGGACAGGCGCAGCTCACGGCTCCAATTTCTCATTCTGGGACCCACGGGAACTACTCCCACAGCTTTTTTTTTTTTCTTCCTGTATTTCAAGGAGGAAAAGAAGAACAGCACAGAATATTTCTATTCTATTTTGAGAAAAACGAAACCTTGAAGTGAGACACGTCCTGCCATTTGATTACGGGACAGTTGAGAGCTTCAGCCCCAGGTAGACTTGACTTTGAAGCCTCAATCTGTCACCTTCTAGCCAACTAACATTTCTAAGCACCCCGCTTTTAAACTGGGGGCAAGAGCACCTGTGTGGTAAGGGTGCTAGAGGAATTACAGGAAACAAACACGGAAAAGCCGAGTGCAAGGACTAACTGGTTTTAGTGCCCTGTTAACGTGTCCTGAATAACCGCCACGTAGGTAAGATGGTTTTTTTCAACTCAATTCTTTTCTCTAGTCAGCACCTTTGCATCTGAAGTATGCAAATAAATCCTGAAGCCCGTGACACGTGGTCGTGTGGCATTCTGTGGAGGTGGGAGCAGCAGTCGTGGGAGTTACAAGGTGGGCTTTGACAAAGCCACTCAGCGCGCACCCCGCTTCCTTCTCAGGTGTGCCTTCTTTGCGGCTTCGGTCACTCACCAGAACCAGGACTGGGCTGAAGCAAGTGAGGCTCTCTTCCCGGTGCAAAATCTGCCCTACAGCGCGCTCTTAAAAACCAGCTGGAGGCCAGCTCCCCCCGGCGTCACACGCATGCAGTTTAGCAGACACCAACGTCAAAAGGAACGAAGAACCTGCTAGCTTCGCTGAGCATCGGTCGGCACGGCCCAGTCCCCATCGGCGGCCACAGCCGGTCCAGGGCGCCCTGCTCCACAGGAGCCCCCTGGGTCTGGGGCTGAGCCCTTCTCCCGACCCTCCGCCCCCAAGTCGGGCCCACGGGCCCCCTGCTCATCCCTCGCCCCAGTGCCCCCCAGCCCCCCAGTTCAGCACACAGCGGCCAGCGGAGGGTGCTAACAGACACCCCCGACCCCCCAGCAGTCCGCCTAAGCCTTGGCCAAGCTAACCCTCCGGGGGGAACAGCACCAAGCAGGGAGGAACGCCTGGCTGTCCGAGTAGTGTCCTCAGCCTCACGTCAGCCTCCGCTCACACTGTTCTCAGGCAACAGGGGCGGGGGGCGCGGGGGACCAGCCCCCGGGCCGGCGGCACAGCAGGGGCTCGCTCCAGGCACACTCGGGGCACGCCTGGAAGGCCCCCCGGAGTCAGCGGGGCCCGCGCGAGGCCAGGCCCCTCGGGGCGGCCCGGGGTCGGGCGTGACGAGCGCTCCTGGGTCCGAGGGGAACAGCGGGCACCCTCCCGGGAGGACCCGGGCCGCGGCCCCACGGGGTCTGCCCAGCAGCCTTCCCCGCCTCCCCGCCGGGGCCGCACGCCCCCGGCCCCTGCTCCCCCTGCGCGCCCGCTCA